TTATTTAGGGAAGATGAGGTCCTCAAGGGCACTTGTTGGAGGAGCTCTGGGATTTCCTCAGGAGACACCTGCCCTGGCTGGTAAGATGGTTTGGTAGATGATGCTCGTTGATTGCTTGCTGCTTCATAAGGAGCTGCTGGCTGAGGAGAGGCTGGCACTCTATAAGAATAGGCCTCCACACTATGGGAGTAATTCAAGCTTTATTTAGGGAAGATGAGGTCCTCAAGGGCACTTGTTGGAGGAGCTCTGGGATTTCCTCAGGAGACACCTGCCCTGGCTGGTAAGATGGTTTGGTAGATGATGCTCGTTGATTGCTTGCTGCTTCATAAGGAGCTGCTGGCTGAGGAGAGGCTGGCACTCTATAAGAATAGGCCTCCACACTATGGGAGTAATTCAAGCTTGATCTTGTGCGTCCTTTGGCAGATTTCGGCCGGGTGACGTGCATATTGATGGTATCTGACCGCCAAATGAAACCTTCTGCAGTGCCCACTGTGGTGTTGCATTCAGATGGTGCTATGTTCAGAGGAGCTACTGTGGCCATTGCTTCTCAAGACACCTGTAGAGGGGGTGACAGATGGAAGAAAAAAGTTACATGAATCAGTCAAATCTTTACATCATTTTATTTCACTAGAGTACCCCAGTTTTATATTGTGCTATGTTTAACAGAGTAGGGCATCTTGGCATGTGATGATTTGCTGTCGGGGAGATTACAGAACAGCACTCTTGCTGTGTCACATACCAAGTTAATGGCATGTATTCCCAGATGCTGGCTTTGTAACAGCTCCAGGTTCTTTGGTGTACAGAACAGGTCCATGTATCGGTAAGAGACCACATTCACCTTATTATGTTGTAGGAACAAACAGAAGTGGGTTCTCTCTTTGGAAGGGTCCCACAGTACCTTACCAGCTATGTACTCACAACATGATGCAGCCTAAGCCACACCTGGAATGAAGGACTGTGGTAAGCTGCACAACAAAAGGGAAGGGAAATGCTGATAAGAGATACCATGGCAGTTAGAAGTTCCATGGGATTTTCAATAATAGAGCAGATAAAGCCTTGTGGGGTTTGTTTTTGTTTTTTTATTTTCAGGTTTCATCAGGCTCCCATGCAGCATGATACTCCATTCAGTGAGATCAGAAGGATAAATAGGTGAGTCAGCCCCACTGGGATCAAAACCACAACTCTTGAGAAATTCAAATGTTAAAGCCAAATAACAAAAGAAAGGTTTTAGCTCTGTTTACATGGTATGTGCTGTATATTAATGTTTGCACAGCACTGTATATCTTGTGCTAGTAAGTGTTCTTATTGCTCATGAAGCATTTGAAGTCGGGGGAGACTTATTTATTTTGATAGATGGAGTGGGTATTATTTGCCTTACAAGACAGACAAAACAGGAGCATCTAGTCACCAGTTGGGGTTGGTGTAGGCACCACGCACTTAGTGACAGTAACTGCCCAAATATCTCATTATCTAAATAGACTAGACACAGAGAGGGTGGGTGAGAGGAAGTGTTGTTATCCTTAACCAAGATAGTGTCTGGTAGAGCCAGGAACTTAACTGGAACAGACCCTAGAGCTCTAATGTCCCACTCGACCAGTGTGTTTATCCACAGTCCTTCCTCTCTAAGGGATGTCTCCACCATAGCTTTATTCCATGCCCCAAAGCCCCATTACCATCTACACACATGCAACCATCAAGCATGTGCTTATTTTTGCATTTTGAACCCATGTTTGTTTGCATGGATGGGGGCACGGGCTGTAGCACAAGAAAGCATTAGCTTGTTAGAACTTGCCCATTTTGTAGTGAGGATGCTGGCACAGGCACAGTCACAGGTGTGGTCCTTAATGTCCTTCTCATAATTCCCCCTCTCTCCTCCCCAGAGGAAAGGCAAGTTCTCCCACAGTTGACAAAAGTCCTAGTGTATCTCTGCACAAAGAATCAAGGGCTCCGTCCTGGACACAAGAGAAGTACAATGCAGTGGGTAGGACTTTGCTGTGGGAATGCTCATGTCCAGGCTCTAGGCAAACCTGCGTGCTCCAACCCACACCTAGGATAACTCTGCAGTGTAGCCAATGGTGCACTTGTCAATTTGTACAAAGGTGTTAGTGAAAAATATATACACTATTTTTATTGTGATGTTAGACACTTACTGAACGTGGCAAGCATGTGTATGTAGAGGAGCAGATATGAAATCATTGCTGTTTCTGCAAAGGTTCCCAGTGTGAACTGATAGGTAAGACTGATTACACATTGGCTTTTACAAAAATTTAGAAGTTTCTTCTTTAAGTCCTTTGAGCCAATATGGCTGATTCAAGCCACTCAAACCTGTTGTAAATGATTACAACTCAAAAGACCTGAAGTACATCTCCTTAGTAGCAGTTACCATAGAGGTCTTCTAAGGATGATGGAGCAGAATTTTACTCAAGTGCTCTGAATCACAGCTGCAATAATACCATTTTGCTCTATCAATTCAAAGCAGCCTTAGAGCCACAAGTGGCCACAGCAGTGGGTTAGAGTAAGACTAAGGATATTTACATTGTTCTCTCCCTATGGCTTGTAAAAGTGGTTTGGCCAGTTGTTAGCAATGGCAGGTTTATTTGGATTTACACACCTCTGCAGGGAAAACTTCCTTTCCCCCACTCCGTACCTAACCCACCTTCATACTCCAACGCCTCTTCTCAAGTATATAAAGCATCTGTCACTCCAAGGGGGATGCCAACATGCATGTTCCACCGTATTCAGGAAATTAACAAGCGTTGGAAAACCAGATTTCCATTGGCCTTTTGCCAGTGATGAGTTATTTTACACCTTGTTTCTCCACCTTCCTCTCTTGTCTCAGTGAAATGGAAATGATCAGTAAATTAAACAACGTCTAGTAAAAACAAAGTACAGATTTAATGTATGGGTGTGCCTTGGCATGCATTTACTATCAAAGTACAATAATCACTCAACTACCTAAATAAGTGATCTGTTTACTAACAATATATATACACAAGCCAAGCTGGCTGACAGTAATTATCTGGACACAAAGTGTAAGTCACCAATAACAGATCCCTAGGATTGTATTAAAAGGGCAGACATGTTATTTGATTTAGAATACCTTCAAATAAACTCCTAGAAAGCAAAATCAATATAAAGAACTAAAACCCATTATGCCCCTTTAAAGAAGGATTTCAACTAGATTGTGGCAAATCAGAGCTGTCTAGAAATATGCTGACAGTGAGCAAAATTATGAATAATCCCCCAAGAAATTATCTGTTTTCATCTTCTGAGTACTGAACAGCATGATTTCATTTTAAGATAAATGTGCTTAGCATTTTAAATTGTTACACCAGTCTTTAAACAAAACACAATTTAAACCTGGGCTTCTCAATCAGAGGCCCATAATAACAGAGCTGTGCCTTGTATTAATGAGATTTTAAGCAACAAAAGACCCAAGATAGTAGTGGCTGCTTTCCCAAAGGGCACAGAAAATGGAGAGGACAGGGAGTTCATTTGAACAAATGGGTATAATTACTGAGGAAGCAATCGAATACTCATTTAATTCAACCTTTCTTGACTTTGTGCAATTGTTGTAGTCTTCACGCTGCCGTTACAAGGAAAAGGCCATGGACTGGCCAGCATTTAGAATCCAAAGGATGCACTGTGGGTGCCACTGGGTGTGGTACTAAGACTTTGAAAAGTGGCCACTAATTTTGAGGCAGTCAGGTTTTGGGTGCCTAATTGCAGTCACAGGGGGGGTGCAATTTTTCAGAGAGGCGGGGATACCCCGGCACTGCTCAGAACCTCCGAAAATCCATCTTTTTAAATATACCCCTTGGCTCTGATCTACCGCTAGCAGCTGCGCTCAACGCCCAGACCGGAATCACTTAGGACACAACCGTGTACAAAGGAGGTAGGCGAGGAAACTGAGGCACAATGTGGGGCAGACACTAGCCCCAGGTTACCCGGCAGAGCTGGGAGCGGGTCTCCCCTCCCCCCCCAGCCCGATGCTCTATCTGCTAGGCCGCGCTGCCTCCCTTAGGATCTTAAATGGGGGCGGGGGCACTGCTTGTGGAAGCGTCACCGGGCTGTCTACCCACCCGCCCGTGCACCCGGAAGCCCTGCCCGCCCCGGGGGCTGCGACATCCTCCAAGCCCGCCCAGGCTGCCCGGCAGAGCTGGGAGCGGGTCTCCCCTCCCCCCCCAGCCCGATGCTCTATCTGCTAGGCCGCGCTGCCTCCCTTAGGATCTTAAATGGGGGCGGGGGCACTGCTTGTGGAAGCGTCACCGGGCTGTCTACCCACCCGCCCGTGCACTGCCCGCCCCGGGGGCTGCGACATCCTCCAAGCCCGGGCTGGAAGCGGGACAAGGGGGCTCCTGACAGGAAGGGAGCCCAAGGGGCCAGCCAGGTCCCCCGGGGAGGCAGCATCACCGCCCGGCGGCCCCGGGCGCCCCGCTCCCCTCCGCGCCGCTCCATCCAGCAGCCCGCTCCCAGTCCCGCTGGTAAACAGCCCCGCGTTGCCACAGCAACCGGCCCCGCCCGTCACCCACTTCCGGCAGTGACCGGAACAAAGCCGGACTCCCCCCCCTCCCCCTTCCCCCAAACCAGAGAGAGCAAAGGGCAGGCT